CAGTCCTCGGTGGTGCTCAGAACCCAGAGGCCCCGACCCTGAACCAAGACCCCGGAGATCCCAGCTCGGAAGCGACAGCACAGCTCAGAACCCAGAGGTCTCAGGTCAGAGCCCAGGAATCGGCACTGAGGCCCCGCAGTGGCGTTAGCAGCTCAGGGTCCCCGCGCAGACGCTGGACTGCACGGCTCCCTCCTGGACCCACGCGTGGCCAGGGCTCCTGGTGCAAGATTTATGCTTGGGCCCCTTTTAGGACGGGAGGCTCACCACCATGCATTTGAGAGTCAAGAAGTTTTTCCTGAGCCTGAACTCCTGTCTCGCGGACACGACACACCCAGAAATACACGCGGGCTCCATCCCCAAATCGCCTTTGTGTCTCACCACTCCACCCCATTCTTCAATCATAAGCTAAGGGGTCCCAAGGGCAAATGTGTTTATTTACAAAAGGCACAAACCCTCCCACCCATCATGCTTTGTGGGAGGAGGGGGAAAGGCGTGAGGTCTCACACCTGAAGACCCTGAAGCTCCAGGTGGGGTGCAGAAGGCAGCACCCCAGTGCAATCAGGACCGCGTGTCCAGTCGGTTCATGTATTCCTGCAAGGCCTTCAGGCGAGCGTCTATTTCGGCCATGTCAGCTGCCTGGTGGTCTGAGCTGTAGTCTGTGGGGGTGGACATGTGGGGTGGGGGGCTGTAAGGGACCCTGGGCATCTTTGGGGGGGTCCGGGGCTGATTAGGGATGGAGAAGGGTAGTTCCACACTCACCTTTGATGGGGACCCAGCCCCCTGAACTGCCTAGGCGTCTTTGATGGTGGCCACGTGCCACGGGAGTGGACTTCTGCTGCTGCAGGGAAGGGGGGACCAGACATAGGGTCAGGTTCTCTCTCCTGATCTCTGTCCCCTCCCAAATTGCACTGAAAGTTCACACTGAAGGTTCTCAAACAGCCTGGCTTATACAAACAACTTGGACAATCAACACATGCAAATTAAACTCCTTGTAGGAGCTTCACAAGGAGTCCTAGTGACACAGTGTCTTGAGCACTGGACAACTAACAGAAATGTCAGCCATTCGAATTCTCTTTGTGGCAGAAAAATAAGGCCGTTTTCTCCTCCCTTCAAAATATACACCCTGAGAAATCCATCAGGGCAATTCTACTGTCCTTTCAGGTCATGCTCTGGTGGCCCAGTTCTTAGGGCGCTGCACTGTAACTCAAAGGCCGCGCCTCTCAGGTCGTTCGAATCCACCAGTGGAACCAAGGGAAAAAGATAAACAATCTCCTCTCATGCAATTTACGGCCTCAGAAACCCAGAAGGCCTGGGGATTTTGAGTTAGCTTCACAACACCCTCTATGGTGGAAATTATTCCCGTCCCTATTTAACAGATGAAGATACTGAGAACGAGAGGCTACGCAATTCATACAGGTGGGAATTACAGAAAACCAGACTTTAAAGTCTGATCATTTGAGGCCCAAGCACACGCATACTGAGTCCCTGACCCTTCCATCTCTTGGAAACGAGAAGTCTGGGTTTCCAGAAGCATTTCAGAGTTGCCTCTATAACCCGATCCCCTAGGATGGAATCGTGAGAGATGGGAGCAGCTGCCTTCTGGTGGTCCCCATCCACTCCAAGGCCTGAAGGAAGGTGCTCACCGTAGTGGATCTAGTCCACATTGTGGGGCTGGCAGGCTTCCTGCGGCTGAGACGAGCTCTGAAAGGAAGAAGAAATCAGGGATCAAAGCGGGAGCAGCCTCGGCGGTTTCAAGGCCCTCCCAGCCTCCACCCTCTCTCCCTGGAAAAAGGCTGTTTCCAGGCTCCCCAGAAAATTTTACCCTCTGGAGAGTGACTCTGAGAAATCGTCCATCTCGCTGAAGGAGCTGGCGGACGAGCAGCGACTGCGGAAACTGTCCACTAGGGGGAGGAAGAGCGCATGAGGCTCCCCGCACCCGAGGGCGCACGGGGCCCGCCGACCTCCCGCCCACCCCGGCTCCCGCCAGGTACCGGAGGAGCTGCGGTGTCGGGAGCGGTTCGCTGCGTCCCCGCGAGCGCTCACGGCGGCGGGGTGCCGGGGCTGACGAGCCCAGGAGATCGTCGGGCCGTCCCCGCTGCCTCCGCTGCCAAGTCGGTTCCGCTGCTGCCTGTGTTGGATCAGAAAGGAAACCCCGCCGATGGGCTCAACTAATGCCGGGAAAGGCCCTGGTGGTCACGGCCACCATGACCCGAGATCACTCAGTGGGAATAACATGGAAGATACAAACCGGGCGGAGGTGGGCGGAGACACTACCGCACAAGGGGGAGGGGCGATTAGAAGAAGGGAGGAGGCAGGTGAGAAGTGAGTGGGGGGCGATCAAGGAGCGGGTGACCCCAAGGTCGGGAGGGGTAAAGGGGTCCTTAAAGGGGCCCCCACGGGCACTAACTTCATCTTGAATTCTTTCTGCTTCTTCTCCTTTGCCTTCACAAAAGCCGTGGGGTCGAAACGGGTTGTGCGACCACCTAGGACAGCGAAGATTGAGGTTTGCAGGTTCAAGACCTCCCAGCTTCGGCGCGTCCCGCCTCCCCCCCTGGCTGGACAGGGCGGCACCGACCTGTGGGCGAGGGAGAGGGGCGCGTGGGGCGAGCCCGACCCCGACTCCCGCGGCCGCTCTCCAGCGAAGAGGAGCGGGCGGCCCCGCGGCCTCGCGACGTGGAGCGCTCCCGGGACGAGGTGCGGCCCTCCCGGGCCGAAGGCGGCAGGCCCGCTTGCGTCCGCCTCCTGGGGGTACAGGGTCCCCGCCCCCCCCGGGAGTTACGTTCCCGCCGACCTGAGAAACCCTGGTCTCCCACGGCACTACGCACATTCCACAAGCAGGCCGTCAAACACTCCCAGAAAAACTCACTTAGGAACCATTTCCAATTTCCTACCACCCACCTCTTCAGTGAAGGGCAGCTGACATCACCCTGATGGCCACCAGCCGGGTGCGCCCTTTCAACGACATTCATTCCCCCTTTTCAGTCCCTTTTCTGGGCACCACTTCCCAAAAGTCCTGCCCACATCTCCATGAGTCCTCTGAATCCCACATGCACCGCCCACCCACTCAACTCCATTCCTCTTCAGATACCCAGTTTTCTCTGTGCACCCCCAATTGGCAGATCGCCAGGACCCGACCTGACCGACCCCCAGGTCCCGTCCACCCACGATAGCCGAGTTCTACGCCCCGCCCCGCCCGCAGACCCCGCCCACTTGTCATTTCCACGCTCCCAGAGCCCCGCCCACCCGCCCAGAGGCGCCCTCACCCGCGCTTGTACAGGGCCAGCTCACTGTTGAGCGTCCTTAGGCGCGCGCGCAGGCTCCGCTCTGACGCCTTCACCTCCTCCAGCTGCCGACAGGGGAGAGAGGTGCAGAGGTCCGGGTGAGGCCAGGTCGGCTGGCCCCCGCGGGCCGCCCCCAGCCTCGGCCCGCGTCCTCACCTCCTTGGCCAGGCGCCGGGAGTCCTGGGCGCGGCGGGCCGTCGGGGGCCCCAGGCCGCGCTCCTGCCGCAGCTCCAGCTCCAGGCCGCGCACCAGCCCGCGCAGCGTCTCGGCTTCCTGGCGCGCCGCCCGGCCGGCCAGCGCCTCCTCGCGCGAGCGCTCCAGCTGCACCTCCAGCTCGCGCTTCTCCGCGGACAGGCGCGACACCCTGGGGTGCGGAGACAGGAGGACGGTACACCCGTATCCCACAAGCACCCCCACTCCTGGCCGTGTTGAGCAGAAATTCCAGCATTCGCCCTCTAACACAGGGCGACACTTTTCTCTCCTCCACTTCCCCCAGAAGGGGGGACTGCGCCCCATCAGTCGCAGCTGTCCCACAACAAAGGGCATGATTCCACTTCATACCCACGGGACAGGGAAGAGACGGTCGTGTGGATTCTAATGGCACAATCGTGCATCAGTCCTAGTTCCAGCCCACGCCCACAATCCCGCCCCCCGCCCTCCAGTTCACCAGAGCTCTCTTTTTAAAATTAAAATAATCGGGTCACTTTGGAACTCAAGACCTGACAAAATGATTGCACTCAAGGCTATCCCTTGCAGGACTGTTAAACTAGAGAGCAGAAACGAAATTCATCACAATGAAAACTGGCGGAATCCCTGTTAACACGCCACACACCACCCAAACGCACTGCTTTCAAGGTGTTACTGGCTAGACTCGATCGTCCAGCACAACAGAACTGCCCCACCGGATTCTCAAAGCTGCAGATCTTTGCAAAAGCAGACTGCCACAATCCCTCTCCTACAGAGCTGAGGATGGGTTCGAACCACCCACCTTGTAGTTAACCTTCAAGCAGAAAGCCATCAGGGCTCCTCAAGGAGAACTCAAAACCACACTGTTGAGTCCGAACGACTCCTGTCTGACCGTCCAGCAGGTTTTCTAAGGCTGCTAATCCTTCTAATCGCAAAGAAAGATTTACCCGTCCTTCGCTGGTGGAGCAGCTGATAGATCCGCACGCACCAGCTGCTCCACAGGGAAAAGATGGGAAATCTCCCCTGCGATTTACAGCCTCTGAAAACCCACCGGGAAAATCCAATTCCAGAGTCAGTTCCAAAGTGGCGGCACATAGTCAAATTCATTACACAAAGAAAAGAACCAGAGAAATGTGGACACATACACACATGGTGATGTTAAGGGATCTTTGGTAATTTTGTTGTATGTGATGAGTGTATGGAAGGGCTGGTGTAGTGGTTAAAGTGCTCAGCCGCTTAAATTCAAGGTTGGCTGTTCAAATCCACTAGCCAAACCTAAGGGAAAAGATGAAGCAATCTGTCTCCCTGAATATCTACAGATTCTGAAACTCAAACGGGGTAGTTCTACCCATTGTGAGTCAGAACTCACCCGACGGGGCAGCTCTGCTCTGGGATCAGTCCTATAGGATCAGAATCAACCTGCACCGAGATTAGTGATAAGAGTAGTGAAGTACGGGTATGTTATGTGATGGGGTTTTTTTTTTAATGTCTTTTATCTTCAATGGTAAAAACACACACTGAGATCTTTACAGAATTTCTTTCTACAGAAAAGGAGGAGAGTAGATGAACAACACAGGCAAAATGTGGACAACCATCAAAGTTGGAACAAAAATGCTGGTGTGTTTGAAATCACAGAAGCCATGGAAGCTTCATATATAAGTTATTAGATGGAGGGCTGGTGAAATGGAGATAGATGTGAAGGGAGGGGGTAGAAGTGGATGGATATCCTGTGGGATGGTGAAGCAGGAAGTAAGTGCATAAAGGTGCATGTGAGAAAGGCAGGGACAACACTGACACTAAAGTTAACTCCGCAATAAGGGATATACCTTTAACTGGCTGGTCTGTCTAATACTTCTCTAAATCTGAACATTCACATTGAGACAGACTAGGAAGAAGGATTGGCCATCCACTTCTGAAATAGCAGGCCTCTGAAAACCCTATGTACAACTCTCCAAAGTGCTGAAGAGCAGTGGTGTCTCTCTGGAGACTAAGGTGCGTCTAATACATGCCATGGTCTTCGCAATCACCTGTTATGCATCAGAGAGTTGGACAATGACCAAGGAGGATAGAAGGAGAATTGATGCCTTTGAGCTGTGATGCTGGAGAAGAGTATTGAGAATACCATGGACTGCTAGGAAAACAAACAGATTTGTCCTGAAGAGGGTTAAACTGGGTGGCTCCTTGGAGACAAGGATTCTGAGGCTCCGTCTAACTTACTTTGGACATGTTGAGGAGAGACCGGTCCATAGAGAGGGACATCATGCTTGGGAGGGTGGAGGGACGGTGCAGGAGAGGAAGGCCCTCTATGAGGTGGATTGATTCAGTGACTGGGATAATTGGGATGGGAGTGTCAGAGAGTGCGATTAGCACAGGACAGAGCGGAGTTTAGGGCTGTTGTACATAGGGTCGCTATGAGTCACAGGCGACTCGACGGCACATAACAACAACAACAACATACTATTTTACCTATTTTTTTTATTTTAGTGTGTGGGTGTGGGTGTGGGTGGGTGTACCGTCAAATAGGATCTGATTGATACAGGAGGAGATTGTCCCTCCTTCCCCAGCAGAGAATCTGGTGGAATCGAACCATGTACCTCTGGGATTGCAGTGCAGCTTCTTGCCACTAGGCCACCAGAGCTCCCTTATTTTACCTATTTTTACATGTTCTTGGAATTTACTGTTAGATTCCTGTACTACATGTGTGCATGTTATGTACAAAGTAAGCGGTAAAAAATGTTCCCCTTCACTTTCTCCAAGAGGCTTCCCATTCACCCCCTATTGAGGACTCCCCTTCTCTTTCCACAAAGCTTCAGTCCTTTTCAAATTCAGTTCCTTCCTTCCCCCTCCTCCTCCTTCTCCTCCTCCTCCTCCTCCTGGCAGGGATGGCTCTGCTCATCTTTCAAAGGTCACCTCCTCAGGGAAGCCCTCCTGCCCTGCCCCACCCAGGGTCACATCCCTCTATGCTCTGGGGCTCCCAGTACATTTCCTTCCTGGCACCGACCACTGTCAAGCTGGCATTTATCGGCGAGATGATCTGAGTTCTGTCTGGCTCTCTGTCCCTGAGGACAGAGTCTCCATCTGTCTGATCCACCACACAGGGCTTGGGCTTGGCAGCCAGGTGACCCGCGTTCAACCCAAAAAAAAAACTCCACTGCCAATTACACACTAAAAAACCCCACTGGGTCAGTTACAAATCATGTCACTGTTGTTTGGTGCCATCAGGTCAGCTCTGACTCAACACAATCCTGTGCGGAACAGACCCCTGCCTGACCCTGCGCCATCCTCACGATTTCTGCTGGGTCCACTGCTGTGAATCCACCTAATTGAGGGTCTTCCTCACTTTCACTGACCCTCTACTTTCCCAAGCACGATGTTCTCCATGACAACATGCCCCACATATGTGAAACGACGTCTCATCATCTTTGTCTCTAAGGAACACTATGGCTGCACTTCTTCCAAGGCAGATCCGTGTGTCCTTTTAGCAGTTCAGGGCATATTCACCTCGCACTGACCCTGTAACACAGAACTCCTCCACAGAGCTTCCTAGGCTATAATCTTCACAGACAGAGCTCTGGGGGCCTGGTGCTAAGAAGAGGCATTGCAATCCCAAAGGTAAGCGGTTCAAATCCACCTGCTCCATGGGGGAAGGATAGGCAGTCTCCTCCTGTGCTATTAACTGTCTCTGAAATCCTGCTGTAGGGTCAGCTATGACTTCCTGGTACACAACAACAACAATATTCACAAAGCAGACTACCACATCTTCCCAAAGAGCAGCTGGAGGCTTCAAACTTCCAACCATTTGGTTAGCACCCAAGGGCTTTTAATCACTGCACCAAAAGAGGTCCACTCATTACCAGCTGAGTGACCTTAGGCAATTAAACGTAAGCGTCCTGAACCTCAGTTTTCTCATCTGTGAATAGGGATTGTTGTTGTTAAGTGCTGTCGAGTCACAGGCGACTCATAGCGACCCTATTAAGGAGAGTCCTCGACGCTTGGGTGCCTTTCATCCTCTCTCCAGGTTCATAGGTGAATAGGGATAATGAGAATAATATCTACCTGATCTCAACTCAATTCATTGTTGTCGAGTCAGAACTGACTCCAGCTGGCCTTCCATCGGTTTTCTGAGGCTGGAAATTGCATGGGAGGAGACTGCCCATCTTTTTCTCAAGGAGCCACTGGTGGATTTGAACCACCAGAGAGGCGACGCCCTTGGGTTAACAGAGCCCCTCCCTGTCTACAAAGGACCCCACCAGAGCCACCTCCCTGTCTGAGAGGTTACAGGAATTTCCAGAGTGCTTATCCCACGTCTGGCACACAGTAAGTGCTGCCTGTTAATACCTTTCTGTGAACAACTCAACACTTAACCTAATATATCACCAGAGCTCCTGAATCCTTAATAGTAGCTGAATGAATGAACGGAGCTCGGAGTCTTCCCAAACTGCCAAATGCCAAATTCCACGTAGAGAGGAAGATGAAAAATGGGGGAGGGGGCGGAATCAAGAGGAATGGAAATTATCTCAATCAACAGAATTTTAGATTAAAAACAAAACAAAACAAAACGACCAGCTGTACAGGTTGTGTTGTTGTGTCTAAGAGACAAATAGTGCCACCTTGTGGCCTTCTTGGGAACAACATGCACTCCAGCCGCCCCATCCTATTCCTGTCCACCACCCTCTGGGCTGGAGGATGGATGCAAAGGATCAACCTGTCCGGCCTCCCACTCTGACTGTCTCGGACTCGCCAAGGCTCAAGGACTCTCCAGGAGCTGAAGCACGAAGTCCTTTCTGTCAGCGCTTTGCACTGGACAACAGCTCAAAGCAGCCAAGTAGGCTGCCTGCATTCACAGCCCACTGTGTGACCTGGGGCTAGTTTCTTAAGCCTCTGTGGGCCTCAGTATTCTCCTCTGTAGAGATGATACCTCATTCATGGAGCCCAGACCCTGATGTAGTTAAATGCTCTATAAGCAGCAATCGCATCCCATTAAGATTACAGTCTGGAGGGGTAATCTCCTGTGCCAGTCAGATCCAATTCAACGGAACACAACAAGAAAAGGGAGGGGGGATTTACGGCCTCAGGAGCTTAAAGAAGGGTCACTAGGAGTTGGGACAGACACAGCAGCAATGAGTGTGAGTTTTCAAGTTTACTATTAGATGATGATGATGATTTGTTATTATTATTAAGGAGCCATGGCCAACACAGTGGTTAGCGAGCTCAGCTGTTAGCCAAAAGGTCAATGGTTCAAACCCCAGCAACTACTCCACAGGAATGAGCAGGCAGCCCTGGAAACTCTAAGGGCAGGTCTGTCCTGTAAGGTTGTTCTGAGACAACTTGAGAGCAGTGGGTGGGGTTTGGGCTTAGGTAGCACAAGTGGTCTGTGTTATTTTTGTGGAGAGTTTTTTACATCAGACAGGTAATGTGCCCATGTCGCAAAGGCGTTTAAGGGTGTTGTCACATGTCATATGAAAGCATGAACACCCAACCCTCATTGCTCATGAACTGAAAAAGGACCAGGAGCACAGATGTTTTAAGCATTTGGCTACAAACCGAAAAGCTGGTACTGGAGCCCACCCAGCACCTCAAAAGAAGAAAGGCCTGAGGGAGCTCTGGTGGCCCAGTGGCAAGAAGCTGCACTGCAATCCCAGAGGCACGCAGTTCAAATCCAGTGGCAAGAAGCTGCACTGCAATCCCAGAGGCACGCAGTTCAAATCCACCAGATGCTCTGCTGGAAAAGGAGTGACAATCTCCTCCTGTACCAGTCGGATCTGATTTGATGGTACACACACAAAAAATAAAAATAATATTTACTTTTTTTTTTTTTAAAAAAAAGAAGGTCTGGGGTGTGCTTCCTTGAAGATGGCAATGACCCTACAGGGCCATGCTGCTCTGTCACATGAGTTGTTACGATTGAGAACTCATTTCAAAGTACCCAACAACAAATTATCATCATTATGAAAAATATTGTTCACTCCCTTGGGAAGCTGGGGTTCCTCTAGGTGGAGAAGAGTTACCAATTCAGCTCCCCTTCAGCACACATGGAGGAGCCCTGATGGCTAAGGAGTTGTGCTGCCGACCCAAAGGCAGAGAGTTCAAATCCGCCAGCTGCTCCATGGGAGGGAAAATGGGCAATCTCCTCTCGTGTGATTTACAGCCTCTGAAAACCCGCTGGAGGATTAGCTATGAGTCAGTTTTGCCTCAAAGGCACAAAACAACACAGAACGCAGCAAAAAGCCCTGAGTACTTAACAATGGGTTTAGTCCAAAGCTGCTAACCAAAAGGTTGGGAGTTCGAACCCACCAGCTGCTGCTCTGCAGGTGAACTTAAGGGAGTCTGTTTCCATCAAGATTACGGCGTTGGAAACTCTATGGGGCAGCTCTACTGGGCCCTATCAAGCTGCTGCTGTTGCTGTGTACCAACATGTCAGATGTGACCCATAGTTGACCCTCCAATGGGTTTTCAGAGGCAGTTAATCACACAAGAGACTGCCCACCCTTCTCCTCAGAGCAGCCGGTGGCCGTGAACTGTGTGCCTTTGGAACTGCAGCGCAGCTTCTTGCCACTAGGCCACCAGAGCAGCTATGAGTGGGAACTGACAGTACACAGCAAGCACGCCATAAATGCACTGAAAGATAAGGGCCTGCTGCCTTCTCAATACTCCCACCAGCCACCAGCAGATGGGTTGCTTCCACTGGCCTGTGAGCCTGTGGGGTCAGTGCTGTACTCTCTGCACCAACCCTCACCAGAAGTATCTGATAAGAGCTGGTCTTCCTGGTGGCCGGGTCTCTCACAGGGAGTGGTGCTGTTAAATCACAGGCCATAGCTCTCTGGTGCTTCAGACCCACCAGTAGCTCAGAGAGACAGACCGTCTCCTCCCGTGCCATCTACAGCCTCAGAAAAACCAACGGCGGGTCAGCCGTGAGTTGGTTCGGACTCAATGATAATGCATCTTTAAACGAGGACTTCGCGGTGGCAAGAGGGTGGTCCGAGGCCACTAGCTGCTCCCTGGAAGAAGAAGGATGATGCTGTCCGCTCCCGCACGGATTTACAGCCGTGTTAAGGTGAGGCAGTCCTCACATGTCCTGTATACACGGTGCAGGCACACAGCTGCTCCGTGGGATTTACAGCCTCTGAAAACCCACGGGAGGGTCAACTGGGGGTTGGTTCCTGCTCGATGGTACATAACAACAACAACGTGGGTCAGAAGAGAGGCAACAACAGTGGGTTTGGTTTGGGTTCTGGTCTCCCATTCGTGCTGAGCAAGGGCTCCCCAGTGCAGGCTGCGCTGCGTCCCCCTGCCTCCCATCACCCTTCACACACACACACACACACACACACACACACACACACACACACCCCGCACCCTCCTGGACTCACTGCTCCCGCAGGTGCCAGAGCTCCGCCTCGCGGGCGTCCCGAGCCTCCTGGCCGCCCGGCCCTCGCAGGTGGCCCAGCTCCTCCTTCAGCGAGCGGATGATGCCCTGCAGGACCACAGGGTCCGGCTTGCCCTGGTACGGGAGGGGCAGCGGGTAGTGAATCCTGAGAAGGAGGGATCAGAACCGCGGCATCTCAGAGGCCAGGAACCCACCCCAGGCTAACTACCGGACTCTCAACGTCTTAGCATAAAAAACCCCCATCAACAATTCCCTAAGCCCCCCAGTTCCTAGAAGCTACCTTCTAAATGCAGCTTCAAGGCCCATCCCTGGACCCTAGACCCCTCCCACCATTCCCCAGACCCCGTTTCATAACTACCAGGCTTACAGGCCTGGTATGATTGGGAAAAACCTCCCTTGAACCGGCTGCCAGTGGAAACAAGCAACCACATCAGGTTATTTGCCGCCAAGGGCACTCCTATTTCAGATTTCACAGTGGGAGGTTCTGGCTAGCCTGACCCAAGCCACCCTTTGGCTGGGGAGAAAAGAAAGGCAGGGGGCTTTGATTAACTGTCCCTCTACAACCAGGAGAAGATAAAATAGATGAATGGGACCTTCTAAGAATCAAATCCCTATGCACATCCAAAAACTTCTCCAACAGGGTAAAAAG